GAACATGTCACAAAATTCTGTGCAAAAATACGTCGATTTTCTTTTTCGATGTTCTATCTCTGTTATAAATTTCACCCCGATCCGATATCGGCGTCTCCGGTTTCCAAGAGAGTCAAAAAAGAGGGGGGTGTACTCTTAAGTAATTATGAGTTTTTCCTTTCTATGTGACATATTGAGACGATGAATGAACTATACAGAAAATTTGTAGTAAACCGATAAATGAATTTAATGGTGTCGCGGTAAAACGGTTTTTACTGTTATCAATGGTAAATTACCGGTTACTGATCATCCGTAAAAGAAAATTGATAGGATTTAGGACTTTATAGAAAACGAAAAGAGAATTGATTCATTTTCTAAAAATTCAAGAGAGTTTTTCGATAAGAACTTGAAAAGATATTTCTCACAAATTTGAAAATCAATATTTTCTACTATCCATTTCAATGAACAATGGAATCGGTTGTAAGTTGAATAACTCCGAATAGGAAGCAGCTAGAGACCTGCGCTTTTCAACATTCGAAAGAGAATAATATTCTTTAATAAGAAATATCGAAAGCTGGTTGATCAACAATTGACCAATCAGGTGAGTTTTTGCTTGACATATTGGGCACTGCCTGGAGAAAAGATTCCCCGTTGGATTTGAAATTATAATACAACCATTCGATAGAGAAAACTGTTCTCTATTGGTGTACACAAGGCCCAGCCCTTTAGCTTGTGCTGTTCAGGAAATATAAGTAGTTTCCTGAGAGCCCCGATTTCGGCCAGCTGGCCTTGGATCACTCCAAAAAACCTCGAAATATAGGTAATCGATCATGCTGAGTCGACTGGTGATGTTTATTTTCAGTTTTGAAGCGAATTAATTCGCTAGATTAAACTTTTTTGAAATATCGACTCAATACGCCACATAGCGCGACATAACGTCCGAATATAAAAATTCCAGAAATATTTAATTTAATGATTTCAGTCGCTTCGAAACTGAAAATAAATATCACCGCTCGACTCAGCATGGTCGATTACCTATATTTCGAGGTTTTTTGGAGTGATTCAAGGCCAGCTGGCCGAAATCGGGGCTCTCAGGAAACTACTTATATTTCCTGAGCAGCACAAGCTAAAGGGCTGGGCCTTGTATACACTAGTAGAGAACAATTTTCTCTATCGAATGGTTGTATTATAATTTCAAATCCAACGGGGAATCTTTTCTCCAGGCAGTGCCCAATATGTCAAGCGAAAACTCACCTGATTGGTCAATTGTTGACCAACCAGCTTTCGATATTTCTTAATAAAGAATATTATTCCCTTTCGAATGTTGAAAAGCGCAGGTCTCTAGCTGCTTCCTATTCGGAGTTATTCAACTTACAAACGATTCCATTGTTCATTGAAATGGATAGTAGTTTATCTTAGAATGCTTATTAATTTCATGAGTGCAAGAAAATACTTTAGTAGTATAAACTGATTTTTTATAAATTTGAAAATAAGCTCAGGTTACAATGTACGGACTATATTGTTGATCGTCTACTTATGAAGTTTAGTTTTAATCGGCAAAAAAATAGCGATTAATCATTTAATTCTGTTTCTGAAACAATCATGTGAACGTTATACAACATCTATTATGAGTTCTATACAGTTAAAATCTGAATTACAACCGATTAATTCATTGTGATACCCTTTTCTAAGAAGCTTTTCTGCTAAGATCACCTTGTCTGTAGTGTTGTAGGACAGGTGTGTGTGTTTTATGTTCGTTCGCCTCTTGTCACTAGGCTTGTTATAGTAGTTCACCGTTCGTTGAACTATAGTTTCTCGATAAGGGAAACTACTTTTCAGTTTTCGCTTATTTAATGGGAACTGCTGAATCGTTCCTGGTTCAGAAACAGAAACTGAAAAGTAGTTCCCGTTGAAAGAACAGACACTGCGAACTATCACAAGCTTACCACTCGAGCTATGGTCGACCTATATGTCTGTGTGTGTATGGTTTCCTGTATGATCTTTCCTACGTTAGATCAGTTTATGGATTTATAGATCGTCCCTTTCGCTTTCTCGTATACATTTCATACATATAACGTGCATGTATTCCTTTTGTCTTCGCGTCTCCTTTCTTAGGTTAGGTCCTCATCCTCATCCACATTATGTATGTTTCTCATTCTCATTCATTGGTCTGACTTAAGAAAGACAGGAGGAATATATGTACGTCGTATGCATGTACACTAGAGGGAGAATTGCGAATCCATAAATCAACCTGATCTAACCTCAGACATAGGTATGCTAGATGTTCTTTATAAAGGCAACGTTATGGAACGGTATGTTATATTGGGAATGAGAAATCTCTCTAAAAAATTGAATTTACGGTGTTCGCATACTTGATATGATATGTAAATATGGTTAGAATACAGAATTCTATCGTCAATATTCAACATGATCGCTTATGCCTAAATAAAAGACTAGCGTTAAGAAATAAAGTATTATTTGTACAAAGGTGACTAGATGCATCATTTTCTTTTAGATTGTAAAAACAATGGCATTTTGGGATTTATCCGATACTCAACGTGCTGGTGCTGGTCTTGTGGGTTTTGCATTTTTTTTTATACTACTCGGTTTTACATTATTTTTTGATCGAGCTTTATTGGCATTAGGGAATATACTTCTTGTTGTTGGCCTTATATTATTATTGACTATTGATCGAGCTAAAACATTTTTTACTCAACCAGATCGTTATAAAGCTTCATTATGCTTTTTTTCTGGCATTATATTGTTGTTATTGCGATGGCCAATTGTTGGAGTTATTCTAGAAATAGTTGGTTTTTATAAATTATTTGGAGGTTTGTTTATTTCAATATGATTTGTGATGAAATATCTTTAATTTTTGATTGTTTTGTTAGGTTTCATTCCTCTCATCATCAATGTTATGAAAAGTATACCGGGTTTTGGATTAATATTATCGTTACCATATATATCCAATGTTGTAAATCGTCTAGAAAATCTTTCGAAAGGACCATCACCACCTGGTCAGTCAAAGCCAGCTGGTCGACCAGTGACTATTAGCCATGAACTTAGCTCAAAAAAATATTAAAATAAATTTTCTTATTTGTTTACTCATAGATTTTTTCATTGTTGTACAAGTTTGTTTTAAAGTTTAAATATACAAAGATTTCATGTGCTAGAAAGACACGCGCAGCACACTCCTTTAGTTATTTTTTCTGTCATAACGAAAAATTATAGATTTTTTAAAAATATACCATTGGATAGCCCTTGAAAGTCCCTACAACTTGAGCTAGTCAAAATATCTTGATTGATGGGGCCATGTACCAAAGATTCGCAAAAAAACGCATCGGACAACGGAAAACAGCTGCAGAATATTCTGTTAGAAGTCTTTCCTGTTTTAATAAAAAACTATATATTTTTCAAAAGAGTATCGTTGGATAGCCCTTGAAATTTTCTACAAACTGAGCCAGTCAGAACATCTAGGCAAGTGAAGCCAGCCATTAAAGATATGCAAAAGAAGCATTTGGGTGTTATATATCCAGTACAGTGTGTCATAATTGTAAGAAATCTTTTCTTTTTGATTTTTCAGTAAAAGCTGGACCAAATCTGAATACTGTTTTGAATTGCCAGAAGATTTTTCTATCAGATGAGGTGCATATCGCCATTTTATGAGAAAAGTTGATAATAAGGTTTCTGGAAAACTTGACCGCTAGAAAATCAAGTCTTTGCTTTTTGATCAGAAAATTTTGCAAACAATATAGCTTGATAGAGCAAAGAATTCTAAGCGAAAAAAGATATGTTCCGGCTGTCTATAACGCTTTTCACCGAACCACAGCCGATTTACGTATGGCTACAAAATTATCAGCGTGAAAATTATCAAATTTCCGGTGAAAAAGCGTTATAGACATAGAGTTTTTCTGATTCCTTGTCTGCATACAAACACAGTAAATTTCTATTGATATACTATGTTATTCTATGCGAATTACGTAAACGGTAAAGCTTTAATCAGTGGATTAAGAAAATCCACTAAGATGTCTAGTAAGTGATTCTGTATATTGAAGTCTTACTGAAGGCGATATCAAAACATCAAAATTCGAAAATGAACGTTAATTTTCTAAAAGATTTTTTTTTAAAAAAAAGTCTTTTTTAAAGTTTTTTTTTCAACTAGTGAATCGTTTTGTAAGTGTTTGAGCTTACTTACACATGTGATGAATTGTCACTAAGCGACTGATACTATTTATTAAAGATATTTTTTATAATGCCTTATTTTAGTAAATCAATTTCACTTAGTCTATCTGGAAAACCAAAACCTATACCAAGGTCAGCCATCTATATTTTGATACAATTTACATTTAGTGTGTGCAAGTTAATTTAGATCATGGTTACCATTGACAAAACAATTAAAATTAGATAATTATGATATAAGAGAATATGATCCAAAACAAATTGCTAATGAGCTAACATTAATCAATCAAAGATTACTTTTAAAAATTAAACCCGATGAACTTTTTGACTTTCGATTTGTTTCAACTGATAAAGTACCATGATCAATACATACGCTTTCTTATATCATAAAAAAAGTTTTGTTGCACTTTTTTTTGAAGGAAATCAGTAGCCCAAACTGTACACTGATGATTGAATTTTATGATCGTACAGCAGCACTATTTGCCACACAAATTTTAAGGCAATCAATTGCAAAAAATCGTGTTTTCATCCTTCGACACATTGCAAGAGTACGTATACGGAGTAAGGAAAACCAGAATATTTTAATTATTATATACGTTTAGATTATATTTCATTTATACAAAACGAATCATGATTTTCATAGTATTCGAGCAATTTTAGCCGCACTTGATAATCCATCAATCTTTCGTTTACGTGAAACATGGTGAGAATGAACACTTTTTGATCTATTAAAACTATATTTTTTCTTAGGGAAAATGTGTTTTGATCACCAAGTTTCTTTCTATCGAAATGATCAGCAAAAAATAATACTTTTGATCACCAAATCAATTAAAGAAAATTTAAATTAAAGGAAATATATATAAGATGAATATATATATAACAATTAATTAGCAATGATTAGACAGATAAGAAAAAGAATATAAAGAGAATATATACAAGAAGAGATATTAGCAGAATAGAACTTCAACGATTGAAGTTTTTAGAAATTTTTTCGTTAATGTTATATTTTTGAACCAAAAACGACAATCTTGCAGTTAAGGATGAAGAACGATAGATTTTGAATGTTCATTTCTGGGAACAACAGTAAAAATTTCGAATTTTTCGAAAACTTTTTAGAAAAATTCCTCTGGAAGACTATAAAAAACTTGAACAACAGAGGTGGTGGCGGGGCATTTATATATGTCGGAGTTGAGATTGGAATCTAGAGGAATTCGGAATTCACCTAGGTGAGAATAGAATTTTAATTTCAACTGATTGAGATTGGAATTCTAACGTCAACTAGTTGTGATACGAATAGTGCCTAACTGAACTAGTTGAAGTTAGAATTCGAAACCAAACTGGATGAGATCAGAATTCCAATGTGAACTGACAAACTGGACTAGTTGAGTTCAGAATTTAAATTCATGCGAAGAAATTGCATAGGAAAGGGACAAGGAAAAAATGTGATGTGCAGAGAAAAAGAAAGTGAAAGATTTTTCTTCTAGTGATATTGTACAGTACAGTATCAATTTTCTTTTGCATAAAGCATATTGTGTCACATCAGTCTTTTTTAATTCAATTTATTTTGCATAATGCAAGACTTCCATAATAAGCTTGAGTGTTATATTTCGACTCTTCATTCAAATAAACGTGCAAAATATACAATAAGATACACAACGCACGATCAAATATTACAGGTGCTGAAATCCGATGATTATAAAGCACCTAGTGCAAGATTTAAATTTTGGGCGAAAGAGCATTTTTATCTTGTTAAAATCGTTGATGTTGACGTGATTTACTCAACAAAACATAAACAACCAGTGGTAGTTCATGAAGATTTATATGAAAAGATCAAAGAGTGTCATACAAGGGTTGGTTACCTCGGAAGAGATAAGACGAAGAATTTGAATAAAAATAAACACATACATATTCTAGTACTTTATGAGAACAATACAGCATGAATTTAAATTCTGAACTTAACTAGTCCAGTTTGTCAGTTCACATTGGAATTCTGATCTCATCCAGTTTGGTTTAGAATTCTAACTTCAACTAGTTCAGTTAGGCACCATTCGTATCACAACTAGTTGACGTTAGAATTCCAATCTCAATCAGTTGAAATTAGAATTCTATTCTCACCTAGGTGAATTCCGAATTCCTCTAGATTCCAATCTCAACTCCGACATATATATTTGAATGTATAATATTTCTTCATGTTCAGTCGTATATTAGTAAATTAAACTTTTTTATATTCTTTTTCTTGTCTACTCATTAATTGGTAATCATTGCTAATTAATTGCTATATATTCTTCTTATAGGCTACTTCATGATTGAGACCACTTTTTTTAGATGGTTATTAATCAGATTTAAAAAGTGGTCTCATTTTGGAAATGGAAATTTTATAGTAGAAAAAGCGGTCTCAATTTGGAATGCATGTATTCTCTCGTTTTGTCATACAAATAAAATATGGTCTCAATTTGGAATAGTTTTTGTTCTTTTCGCATACTTTGCATTACCGGAGAATGTTTTAAATTGTGTCAGTGGCGGATCCAGAATTATTTTTTGGTACGTGCGATATATGTGCAGTTGTCGTAGAAACAAATTATTCTAAGAAAGATCTGCTGGGAAAAAACAGTTTTTTTGTTTAAAAGGTACGGGCGGCCGCTCGTACCGCTCGCGGACTGTATCCGCCACTGAATTGTGTGAGTTCGCCTATGTCGACAAAATTGCGGTATTTTTAACAATTAATCTCGATTCTTGAAAAATCGCAGATTAATTGGTGTTTCCAATTATTTTTCTTTCGTAGAGAAAACCGAATTGAGATATTGTGCTTCAAGATAGTGCTACTGTTCATTTTTATAGCCTCATCCGATCCCGCAATGCCGTTTCCAGCTCAACTTAGTTTTAAGCATCGATTTTAAAAAATATTTCAATCAATTTCTATGTCTACAGCAGAGCCCTGCAGGTTGCCAAAATTTGGCAACCTATAACCTAACCTATAAAAAATTTCACAACCTAATCCTAACCTAACCTATGGATTCGACAACCTAATCCTAACCTAACCATTGAAAAAAAAAATAGAACAACCAATAACCTAACCTAGCCTATAACTTTTGCAACCTAATCCTAACCTAATCCTAACCTAACCTATAGGTTAGGTTAGGTTAGGTTAGGATCAACCTGCAGGGCTCTGGTCTACAGTAGCCAATCATTCCTAATTAAAGAACGATTCGAAATTATAAACAGTGTATAAAGTATGCGAAAAGAACAAAAACTATTCCAGATTGAGACCACATTTTATTTGTATAACAAAACGAGAGAATACATGCATTCCAAATTGAGACGACTTTTTCTACTATAAAATTTTCATTCCCAAATGAGATCACTTTTTAAATCTGATTAATAGCCATCCAAAAAAAGTGGTCTCAATCATGAAGCCTCGTTCTTACATATTTTTTCTTTAACTGATATGGTGATCAAAAGTGTTGTTTTTTGGTGATTATATTTCGACAGAAAGAAATTTGGTGATCAAAAAAATACATACTCTTTTTTCTTATAATCCAAGGCGCCTGTTTCGATCTGATCATCCTGTTGAATATAGGTAAACTATAAAAAAAAACTTGTACTCGTTTGCATTGATTGTTATTATTTTGACACAGCTTTTTTAAACATTGTTGGCGAATACTTAGCCAAGAAAATGACTGGGAAGAATATAGAAGCTATTTTGAAGATAAATGGATGAAAGATTTTACTAATAAAAGAAAACCGTTTATCCTGCCATTTCTGGGATATGTACGGTGTCAAGTGTTGATATATTCTACTATTTCTCATATCTTTTTGTTTTAATCTGTTTCAGCTATTATCTAAAATGATTACGCAACGTTTTGCAGCATTTCAAACACAATCATCAGACAATGCTGTATATTCTATTCCAATAAAAACAGAACGCACCGGACCGACTAAACACCGTTTATCAGAATAATTATTTTGATCATTAGGTTATAGTGGAATTTTTTGTATAAATAAAAGTCTACAATTACGTTTGTTCGATAAATAGGTTATCATATATCACACCTTTCTGAAGCTCAGTCGAGAGCAAAAAAGAAGAGGATGATACGAATCTGAAATGAGTAGATTGAGAAATCTTTCTTGTCAAATCGAATGTATGCCTCTGTGAGTAGGCAATATTATCCGTGTCACAGAGGGCTTGAACGTATCGCAGAAATATTTGTCGATGTGGAGTAATGAATGCATATAAAACATATGGCATTAAAATGTTAAACATCTTTATAATTCAAGTACACAAAAGTACTCCTCCTATCTTTGTCAAGAACTGAGAGACTGTTCACAGGTGACGTATAGGGTATATTAAATAGCATACGAACAAAGTCGAGAGCAGAGATCAGCACGGGCCGGGCCAGAAAATCTTAAACAATTTTTGAGCGTTTCCCCTAGATACATTCGCGCTTTATTCTTGCCACGGCCGCGAAGTTTGCGCCTTCTGAGAAAAATTGGCGATCGCGCAGAAAAAAAAATTCTCCCCCGTCGCGTTCGCGGTTCAGATTATGTCGCGATCGCACTTAAAAACAAATCGCGTCATGTTCGCGATTTATATCAGATCGTATCGCGTTCCTAGCTTGGATCGCGTCATGCTCACGATTCGGATCAAATCGTATCGTGTTCGCGGTTCAGATAAAACATTTATATTGATCTAACGGCCAAAGGATGCCGTTGCTACGACGTTAGACGTTTTTTTTCGGCAGTTTTTCTTTGTCTTACATACATTGCAAAAGACTTGTAATCAGTAATTATCCATTCAAAATAAAATTTGAGCTTGGTTTCGTCTAAATGCACTTAGACTGTATTAGG